CAGCGGGCTCGCGAGCGTGCTCTCCATCAGGCAGCTGAGGACTCCACTGGTAGCCCCGACAAGGCCCTCGAGAACCTGCTGGTCGACAACCCCGTGGCTTTCGACGAGGTCCCCTTAGGCTTCTTGAAGTCTGACACTTGGAAGGTTGTTCGCGCTTCAAAGGTTGCTGGGTCCACCGACGTCCTAGAGCTGGAGGGGGGGGCGCTCCTTATGGCTATTCGACATGCGCTCGGGAACACTGGGGCTCTTGGGAAGAAGATCCTGTTTATAGTGGATAACCTACCACTGGCCCTAGCGGCCACCAAGGGGCGGGCGAACTCGCGATATCTCCGGCATGTACTTCAGAAGATGGCTGCTCTATCGTTGACCACAGGATGTAAGATAGTTGTGCGTTGGGTACCATCTGAACTCAATCCTGCAGACCATCCGTCTCGAGGCGATCACGGTTTCTTCACTACTCCATACCACGTACATCTTTCTCGGCCCCATGGGGCCGCGCCGGCGGCCAGCTGCGGCGCAGGCCGCTGTCGAGCGGGCACAGAACGCCCAGCTCGTGGTGGCCTCGACGGTGCAGACTTTCGGCCTCTCGTTCCTCGAGTCCGCGGCGATCCGCCCGAACGCGCAGAGGCAGTGCCACGACCGCTTGGCGACGCTGGTCCTCTTCTGCCGGATGTACCGCCTGGACTGGGACAGTTGGGAGTCGCTGGACAATGCCGTCACCGCGCTGCTGAATCACCAGTTCCTGGACGGCAAGTGCTCGGACCTGGGGGCGCAGCTGATCGCGGCGCTCTCGCACGTCTTCCCGGGCCTGGCCCGGCGCAGCGGGCTGTGCCTGCCGCGCGCGTGCCGAGCGGCCAGTGCCTGGAAGCGACGCTCTCCTGGGCGCTCGAGGCTGCCCATGCCCAAGACCGGGGCGGCGGCGATCGCAGGGGTGATGCTGTACCTCGGCCGTCGCCGGATGGCCATCTACGCCATGCTGACCTTCATTTGCTATCTCAGGCCGCTGGAAGGGATCGCGCTGCTGGGGAGGCACCTGGTCGCCCCTGTGTCGGCGGCAGGAGCGAGCTACGCGAATTGGGGGCTGCTACTCCACGACTTCGAGCTCGGCCAGCCCTCCAAGACCGGCACGTCGGACGACGCGGTGCTCATCGACCAGGACAGCTGGATCCTCCCTGTGCTGGCAGGGCTCCAGGCGGCAACGCACGCGGACGCCTCGCTGTGGGACTTCGACGCGACGGAGTTCAGGGTGACCTTCAAGGCCGCTGCGGAGCTGCTGGGGTTGGGGCAGCTCGCTCCACACCCCTACTCGCTTCGCCACGGCGGAGCGTCGGACGACCTCCTGGCCGGACGCCGAAGCCTGGAGCAGGTGCGAGCTCGGGGCCGATGGGTGTCGTCGTCGAGCCTTCGTCGGTACACCAAGGCCACTCGCCTACTTCGCGAGCTGCACGAGGTACACAGCGACGTCTTCAGCTTCGGGAACTTCGTGATGACCCAGTTCACAGCGCTCGTGGAGCTCGGGCTGGCTGGCCCGCTTTTCGACCAGGTCCCGGCGAGTGTGAGGGCCCTCTTGCTCTCGGGCCCGAACGCCGAGGCCGCGTCCGCCGCCGGCCGCGCGCGAAGGCGGCCGGCAACGTGACCCACCTGGTCGACGGCGGGGACGTCGGCGCCTACCTGGGCAAGAGGCTCGTGGCGAGCCTAGGCCGGGCCGTGCGACTCAGGTCGCTGCTGTTCCTGGAGCTCTTCGGGGGCTGTGGCCGCGTCGCGGCCAGCGCGCAAGCCATGGGCTATGCCGCGCTGAGCCTGGACATCGATGCTTCACCTTTGGAGAATCACTTGACGCCAGCCTTCCTCAACAGGATCCTGGGCTGGATCTCTGGCGGGGCCATCGCAGGCGCGTGGCTCGGCACACCGTGCAGTACCTGGACCCGCGCGCTGCGAGCCCCGCTGCGAACTGAGCAGCACCCTGACGGCCGGCCCGACCTCTCGCCTGAGCAGTGTAGTAAGCTTGACATTGGGAACAGGTCTTTCCTTTTTTCCCTTCATGTAATCCGTGCGTGTTTGAGATACGGGATTGGCGTTATGATTGAGAATCCGCAGACCAGCCTCATGTGGTCCTCCCCTCGTTTTCAGAAGCTTCTGAACTTAAGGAGCAGCACTTCTGTCGCGTGTCACATGTGTCAGTTTGGCGCACCATGGAAAAAGCAACCAGGGTGCAAGCTTGGGGCATCGGAGAGCTGTGGGAACTTTCTAAAAAATGCGGTGGCCCTCGCGGCCTGCGCAGCAGAACCCTCCGACCCCACCTCGAACTCAGCGGGCGCGCGCCGGGCGGGAAGTTGGAGGGGGCGAACTGGGCCATCCAGGGGGTGGATGAACAAGTGGGCCGTTCATCGGGTGGATGGAAGCGCGGTGGTGCGAGAAATCACAGCTGGGATTGCGGATGGCTCGGCCGTCCACTTTCACCTCGTCCCTCAACCCTCTTTGCTGGAATCAGCTCCTGCCAGCTAGACAGCCCTGGGCCCTCTCGACTGTCTCCACTTCTCTTGCGTATTTAATGGTCCCACTGGCTTTCGATCTCTTCTCCCTTCATGTTTTCTCAGTGTCCTCCACACCTGTACTGCTGCCCTTCTAGACGCGGTGCACTCGCCTCGACGTTGGGTTGTCAAAAAAAAGGGGGAGGAGGAGGGGAGGAGGAGGAGAAGGAGGAGAAGGAGGAGGAGGGAGAGGTGATAATGGGATGAATGCGGGAGGAGGAGGAAAAGGAGGTTCATAAGGATGAGCATGGAGGACGATGAGGGAGGAGGGCGGGAGCAGGATTGCGGAGGATGATGGAGGAGGAAGGAGGGGGGGCGGAAGGATGAGGACATGTGAGGAGGAGGAGGAGGAGGAGGAGGACGACGACGACGCGGGGCGAAAAGGGAGAAAAGGGACGACGAGGTGCGGGGCGAGAGGGCAGGAATGCTGGCGGGAGGGAGGGAGGCATGGGAGCAGGAGAAGGGGAGGGAGAGGCGGGGTGGTTTGGGATCGGTGCAAGGGCGCCCTGGGTCGCGGGAGCCAAGGCGGCCAGGCGCGCGAGTACCCTTCCCCCGAGGCGCGGACCGCCTTTCCGAGGGAGCTCTGGGAAGGGGTTCCATGAGCCGGGTGGATGGCCCACTTGGGGCCTCGGAGCATCAGCCGGACGGATGGCCCACTTGGGGCCCTGGACCAGTGCAGGGGTACTGGGTGCCCCGGTGTGATGTTCCATGAGCCGGGTGGATGGCCCACTTGGGGCCTGGGGGCGGCGAGGGGGTTGCGCGCAGGGCGTGCGAGGGTCGGGGGCGTGCGTGAGCCGGATGGATGGCCCACTTGGGGCCTCGGGGGGGGCGGCCTCCAGGAGCCGGGTGGATGGCCCACTTGGGGCCTCGGAGCATCAGCCGGACGGATGGCCCACTTGGGGCCTGCATTCGGCCTCCGCGGAACAGCGTTCGGGATGGGCTGCGCGCCTTCCCGGAACAGCGTTCGGGAAGGGCTGGCGGCGGAGGGAATGGGGAGGGGTGGGAGCGGGAGAGCACGAGGTTGGAAGAAAGGGGCAAATGGAGGGAGGGAAGGGGAAGGGGACGGGGGAAGGCGAAATAGGACAAGGGAGCTGGGGGAAGGGAGGGGGAGGGGGGGGGGAGGGATGAGGGAGGCAGAGTGCGAGAGAAAATGGGCGCGGTTGGCAGATGTAAGTAGCGGGCTAGCATCAGTGAGGCGCTGAACGACACTGGTGTGGGACGCGGGGCGACGACGACGACGACGACGACGACGACGACGACGCGGGGCGAAAAGGGGAGTGAAGGGAGAAATGGGGAGGTGGCGGCGGAGGGGGCAAGGGGCTGCGCGGTGGGCGGAGGCAGGGGGAGGGCCAGCACGGGAGCGTGCACGGGGCAGACCAGGCGAAGTGGCCACTTCGGCGCCGCAGAAAGGGCGCGGCGGTCGACGGGCACACCTAGGACGAGAAGGAGAGAGGGTGGCAGAACAGCAATTCCAAGGCTGCCCCTCGCAGACAATTTGGCTTCACTCGTGCGGCCTGATCCCGCTTCGAGGTGTCTCCAGGTCGACGCGGTAGCGGGCCGTGGGCCGAGGCGACCGAACTGCTCCGAACGCTGGGCGGAAAGGCGTTCCAGAAATCTTGGAACGCCTCCCCGAAAGCCGTTCCATGCACCCTTTCGACGGCCCACCTTCTGGATGGCCCTGTTCGCCCCGCCTAAGGGAAGCACTGGACAGCCACTGCTGCTGCCTACCCGGCAGCCTTCGCCCGTGCCGCCGCCGCCATCCTCGTTCGCACGTGTGAGAATAAACGCCCCCTGGCTCTCTCTCTCTCTCGCAGAATGGGGGTGTAGCCCTGAATGTTTTTTTCGGCCTTCGGCCAAGTCCGCGTTCGGGTTCGGGATGCGAGGCTCGTCTATATGTCCAGTGTCTCGCCCTGAAGCCGCGAGTTCGCCGCCGTGCACTGCTCCGCGCAAAGAACATCATCTCTCTTGGCGACGTGGGTCGGAAGAGGCCCTGCTGGGTGCATTCAGTACGTGAAGCAGGCACTGAAGGGAGCGTCGCCGCATGGCCACTGCCACTTGTGCTCGAGCTCTCCCTCCCCCCTTTTTCTCCCCCTTCGAGCTTGAGAGTGGCTTTTTCTGGCTGGATGCGAGGCTCGTCTATCTGTCCAGTGTCTCGCCCTGAAGCCGCGAGTTCGCCGCCGTGCACTGCTCCTCGCAAAGAACATCATCTCTCTTGGCGACGTGGGTCGGAAGAGGCCCTGCTGATCATCATCATGATCACCATCATGGTGATGATGCTGTTGATGATGATAAGGATGATGATGATGATGATGATGATGATGATGATGATGATGATGATGATGCTGCTGCTGCTGCTGCTGATGATGATGGGTGTATTCAGTACGTGAAGCAGGCACTGAAGGGAGCGTCGCCGCATGGCCACTGCCACTTGTGCTCAAGCTCTGAGTCAGGGCCCCCCCATTCCTTTCCATGCAAGCCGCCCTCCGCCATATTGCCGGGCGATTCGCTGAGGGGGTCTCGACGGGCCTTGTCGTGTGGGCTGGGCGGCCTACCTGCCCGCACTGCGAGTGCTCGCCAGTGCTGCACTGTCCACCTCTGACCTGCTCGACTGGTGACGTGGCCTACACCTCGCCGCTGACCCCGCTCGCGCTGGTCTTCACGTGTGCCTGTGTGGCGGTCGTGGCCTTCTCGGCTGGTCGCTTGACGGGGGTGAGGGCTAGGACAGAGCTGAACCCCGAGGACCTGGACGCGACGGCCCGAGCTCAGGTGGCGCAGTATCGGTCGAAGGCTTTGGCACAATGATGCCGCCTGCAGCCGCTGGTGGCCACCCGCTCACTGTCTCTCACGACCTGTGGGTGGGCGACTTCTGCGTGGTGAGGTACAATGTCGGGGGCCCCTTTCTGTACCACGAGCGGCTGGTCACCTACCTGCCGCTTGGAGCTGGGTTGACCGTCTCGGTCACCACCCCCGACGGTGACGAATATGAGGAGGTATGGGGTATGCCAGACATCGTCGAGTGGGAGCCACTGCCGAATCGACAGCAAGGAGGCGTCCTACTGGGTCGGCCCGGAGCTCGATACTACCGTTTCCGGGTTGGCGCGATGCCGACCATTGCGAGCCTCACGGCGGCGACCACGGCCGCGGCCGCCCGCCTCGGCCAGCCCGCGCCTGTGGGGCCCGTGGCGCCAGCTCTCGGCGGGCGCATCGCCGAGTTGCCAGCGGGAGGTGCCTTGCCAGGTGCGCCCGCGGCCGGAGGCGCTGCCGCACCGCCCGGTGCTGTGCCAGGCCCGCCGGCGGCGGGCGCCGCCGCCGATCTCGGAGGCGTGGCCCCAGCGGCCGGGCTTGGTGGCCTGGTGGCAGCGCTCGGCGGACCAGCAGCAGGAGCGCCCGCAGGAGTTCTTGTCCCCGCTCCTCGTCCGCCGGCTGCCCCTGCCGCAGCCGGCGCCGCGGCCGCCGTGGCCCCAGGCGTCGGCGCGGCGCCTGCCGGTGCTGCCGTCGACGCGCCCTTGCTTGGCGCGGCAGGCGCGGCTGCAGTCGGTGCACCTCCTCCCGTTGCCTTTGGGGGCGTTCCCGCCGCTGCGGCGCCCGCTGGCGGCCGCGTCCAGGATGCACGGACGCTCCCAGTGGTCTACGACATGGTGGGCAACCGTCGCCGAGAGTTCCGCGACGCGGTGCTCGCATGCCGGGAGGACCAGTGGGAAGGGTGGCCGGTGCGCGGCCCCCGCACCACCCACTGGGTCCTCCGGTACATCGTCGACCACGGCGGAACTCCGACTGGGATGCACTCTCGGTGGCGGAGCGAAGCTCGTCTCCAGGAGCACGAGCCAGGAGTGCAGGAGCATGAACGGGCCTGCCGGGCGCTGGAGGAGCTGCTCTGTTTCGACCAGTGCAACGGGGCCAACCTGGCGGCCGCTGAGCTGCTAGCGCGCACCATCCAGGTGCAGCAGGAGCGCTACCAGGACAGGAGCGCTGGCGGCACGGCCAGCGGCGGCCACGACAGCGTGGACGCCCACCTCTTCATGGGCAGCGAGCTCACCAGGGGAGGCGCGCGCGCGTGCCCGCTCCTCCAGGAGTGGGCCAGCCTTCAGCTGGCCAAGGAGCAGGCGCTGCTGAAGGAGCGCCGCAAGGCGCGCGAGGAGAGGGAGCTTGCAAAGAAGGGCAACAAGAAGAAGAACAACAGGGAGGAGGAGGGGTGATGTTCCCCTCGGTCGCGCCTGGTTCAGGCGGCCAGCGCGACTCCCTGACTGAGACGCCTGTGGACCGTGGTGCCTCTACCGGTCCGATCAAGAGAGAGGTTTTTGATGCGCTGGGACATAGTGTTCGCCAACGTGATGTTTTTTCCGCTGCCCCCTCTGCGCCGGGACCATGCCGGCGCGGCGGGCCGCCAGGACCTGTCGCGGGTCACTCGGCGGCGTGGCGCGGCCACCAAGCGCATCCTTGACTGGGGCGACGAGTGTATCGACGCCCTGAATGACTTGCATGGCCACCAGGACCGGCCAGCGGTCCCCGCCAATGCCGCCCAGCGGCATGCTGTGGACCACGTCGAATCTCAAGTACGTGCGCTTGGCAAGCCCCCACCTGAGGCAGGTTTTCGCGAGGGGGCCCTACGTGAGCTCCTCGCAGGGACGGGGATCTACCAGACGGGTGATCTCTCTTCCCGACGGCCGTATGTCAAGGAGTCCATATCCTGGCCCTCGCCCGACCTGCAGCCAGTTCCACTGACCGCCTGCATTGGCGAGGCCGAATCTGAGTGGCTGGGCCGCTGGCAGAGCACCTTGCTCAGGCCAGATAAACCTACAGCTGCTGAACGTACTGAGTTCTGCCCTCACGGACTTTTTTTCGACCCCAGTCTCTTCAGTAAGCCTCTGCTCGACGCCGATTTTGTCGCCAAGTTGCTGGCTCGCGGCATGGTGGAGCTGAAGAGGGACTGCGACGCAGCCACCGTCGGCTGCTTCTTCGTCGCGAAGAAGAACAAGAAGCTGAGAGTGATATTTGACACGAGGTATGCCAACTTATTTTTTGGTCGACCGGCTCGGACTGCGTTGCCGACTGCGACGGCCCTCGCTGCTTTCGAGAACCCTGGGCGCGACACCTACCTGGCCTCGGGTGATATCGATAACGCATTCTACAGACTACGATTGCCTGACGGGCTGCCCTCATACTTCAGACTGCCCGCCCTGGATGCCAGCCTGCTCGGGATCACGCACCTGGACGGGGTCCCGCTCGCGCGAGGGGCGCGAGTGCAGCCCTGTGTGTGCGTCTTGCCGATAGGCTGGAGCCATGCGCTGGCCCTCTGTCAGGGCGTGCTCCGACGCGCCATGGCCACCGCGGGGTTCACCGTGGACCAGTGCGTCGAGGGCGGGAAGGCGGGGGTCGTGGTCGACCGGGAGGGCGCCGCGGCGGTTGCCGGCTATGTCGACAACTACGCCGCCCTGGGACGCCCCCCGGCCCTTGTCGACCAGGCCGCCCTTGCCATCACGCGCGTGCTGACGGAGAAGGGGCTTCTCACTCACGATGAGGAGCCTGCCGCGCGGGACGCCACCTTCGTAGGGCTAGAGCTGAAGAGAGGGCGACATCTTTCGATCAAGGCCAGGAGCATTTGGAGACTTCGCTTCGGGTTGGACGCTTTTTTCTCAGAAGAGGTTTTTGTTCTGGAGACGCCCTCAGGGTCATCATGGGACATTTCACTTGGGCAGGTTTGATACGACGAGAAGTCCTCTCTTTGCTCAACGCCAGTTACCAGCTCGCCGAGCGGATCGGGTCTCGGCAGGCGCGTCTTTGGAGATCAGTGCGACGCGAGCTCTGGCAAGCACGCTGTATCTTACCGCTGCTCAGCGTTGACGTCAGCGCAGGGTGGTGGCCAGAGGTAGCCGCCTCTGATGCGTCGCTGTTCGGTCTCGGTGTCACTGTCCGAAAAGCTCCCACTTCACTGGTTTCTTCGATCGGCCGATGCAGCGAGAGGTGGCGCTTCCGGGTTGAGGGGGCCCAGCGGGCTCGCGAGCGTGCTCTCCATCAGGCAGCTGAGGACTCCACTGGTAGCCCCGACAAGGCCCTCGAGAACCTGCTGGTCGACAACCCCGTGGCTTTCGACGAGGTCCCCTTAGGCTTCTTGAAGTCTGACACTTGGAAGGTTGTTCGCGCTTCAAAGGTTGCTGGGTCCACCGACGTCCTAGAGCTGGAGGGGGGGGCGCTCCTTATGGCTATTCGACATGCGCTCGGGAACACTGGGGCTCTTGGGAAGAAGATCCTGTTTATAGTGGATAACCTACCACTGGCCCTAGCGGCCACCAAGGGGCGGGCGAACTCGCGATATCTCCGGCATGTACTTCAGAAGATGGCTGCTCTATCGTTGACCACAGGATGTAAGATAGTTGTGCGTTGGGTACCATCTGAACTCAATCCTGCAGACCATCCGTCTCGAGGCGATCACGGTTTCTTCACTACTCCATACCACGTACATCTTTCTCGGCCCCATGGGGCCGCGCCGGCGGCCAGCTGCGGCGCAGGCCGCTGTCGAGCGGGCACAGAACGCCCAGCTCGTGGTGGCCTCGACGGTGCAGACTTTCGGCCTCTCGTTCCTCGAGTCCGCGGCGATCCGCCCGAACGCGCAGAGGCAGTGCCACGACCGCTTGGCGACGCTGGTCCTCTTCTGCCGGATGTACCGCCTGGACTGGGACAGTTGGGAGTCGCTGGACAATGCCGTCACCGCGCTGCTGAATCACCAGTTCCTGGACGGCAAGTGCTCGGACCTGGGGGCGCAGCTGATCGCGGCGCTCTCGCACGTCTTCCCGGGCCTGGCCCGGCGCAGCGGGCTGTGCCTGCCGCGCGCGTGCCGAGCGGCCAGTGCCTGGAAGCGACGCTCTCCTGGGCGCTCGAGGCTGCCCATGCCCAAGACCGGGGCGGCGGCGATCGCAGGGGTGATGCTGTACCTCGGCCGTCGCCGGATGGCCATCTACGCCATGCTGACCTTCATTTGCTATCTCAGGCCGCTGGAAGGGATCGCGCTGCTGGGGAGGCACCTGGTCGCCCCTGTGTCGGCGGCAGGAGCGAGCTACGCGAATTGGGGGCTGCTACTCCACGACTTCGAGCTCGGCCAGCCCTCCAAGACCGGCACGTCGGACGACGCGGTGCTCATCGACCAGGACAGCTGGATCCTCCCTGTGCTGGCAGGGCTCCAGGCGGCAACGCACGCGGACGCCTCGCTGTGGGACTTCGACGCGACGGAGTTCAGGGTGACCTTCAAGGCCGCTGCGGAGCTGCTGGGGTTGGGGCAGCTCGCTCCACACCCCTACTCGCTTCGCCACGGCGGAGCGTCGGACGACCTCCTGGCCGGACGCCGAAGCCTGGAGCAGGTGCGAGCTCGGGGCCGATGGGTGTCGTCGTCGAGCCTTCGTCGGTACACCAAGGCCACTCGCCTACTTCGCGAGCTGCACGAGGTACACAGCGACGTCTTCAGCTTCGGGAACTTCGTGATGACCCAGTTCACAGCGCTCGTGGAGCTCGGGCTGGCTGGCCCGCTTTTCGACCAGGTCCCGGCGAGTGTGAGGGCCCTCTTGCTCTCGGGCCCGAACGCCGAGGCCGCGTCCGCCGCCGGCCGCGCGCGAAGGCGGCCGGCAACGTGACCCACCTGGTCGACGGCGGGGACGTCGGCGCCTACCTGGGCAAGAGGCTCGTGGCGAGCCTAGGCCGGGCCGTGCGACTCAGGTCGCTGCTGTTCCTGGAGCTCTTCGGGGGCTGTGGCCGCGTCGCGGCCAGCGCGCAAGCCATGGGCTATGCCGCGCTGAGCCTGGACATCGATGCTTCACCTTTGGAGAATCACTTGACGCCAGCCTTCCTCAACAGGATCCTGGGCTGGATCTCTGGCGGGGCCATCGCAGGCGCGTGGCTCGGCACACCGTGCAGTACCTGGACCCGCGCGCTGCGAGCCCCGCTGCGAACTGAGCAGCACCCTGACGGCCGGCCCGACCTCTCGCCTGAGCAGTGTAGTAAGCTTGACATTGGGAACAGGTCTTTCCTTTTTTCCCTTCATGTAATCCGTGCGTGTTTGAGATACGGGATTGGCGTTATGATTGAGAATCCGCAGACCAGCCTCATGTGGTCCTCCCCTCGTTTTCAGAAGCTTCTGAACTTAAGGAGCAGCACTTCTGTCGCGTGTCACATGTGTCAGTTTGGCGCACCATGGAAAAAGCAACCAGGGTGCAAGCTTGGGGCATCGGAGAGCTGTGGGAACTTTCTAAAAAATGCGGTGGCCCTCGCGGCCTGCGCAGCAGAACCCTCCGACCCCACCTCGAACTCAGCGGGCGCGCGCCGGGCGGGAAGTTGGAGGGGGCGAACTGGGCCATCCAGGGGGTGGATGAACAAGTGGGCCGTTCATCGGGTGGATGGAAGCGCGGTGGTGCGAGAAATCACAGCTGGGATTGCGGATGGCTCGGCCGTCCACTTTCACCTCGTCCCTCAACCATCTTTGCTGGAATCAGCTCCTGCCAGCTAGACAGCCCTGGGCCCTCTCGACTGTCTCCACTTCTCTTGCGTATTTAATGGTCCCACTGGCTTTCGATCTCTTCTCCCTTCATGTTTTCTCAGTGTCCTCCACACCTGTACTGCTGCCCTTCTAGACGCGGTGCACTCGCCTCGACGTTGGGTTGTCAAAAAAAGGGGGAGGAGGAGGGGAGGAGGAGGAGAAGGAGGAGAAGGAGGAGGAGGGAGAGGTGATAATGGGATGAATGAGGGAGGAGGAGGAAAAGGAGGTTCATAAGGATGAGCATGGAGGACGATGAGGGAGGAGGGCGGGAGCAGGATTGCGGAGGATGATGGAGGAGGAAGGAGGGGGGGCGGAAGGATGAGGACATGTGAGGAGGAGGAGGAGGAGGAGGAGGAGGACGACGACGACGCGGGGCGAAAAGGGAGAAAAGGGACGACGAGGTGCGGGGCGAGAGGGCAGGAATGCTGGCGGGAGGGAGGGATGGAGGGAGGCATGGGAGCAGGAGAAGGGGAGGGAGAGGCGGGGTGGTTTGGGATCGGTGCAAGGGCGCCCTGGGTCGCGGGAGCCAAGGCGGCCAGGCGCGCGAGTACCCTTCCCCCGAGGCGCGGAACGCCTTTCCGAGGGAGCTCTGGGAAGGGGTTCCATGAGCCGGGTGGATGGCCCACTTGGGGCCTCGGAGCATCAGCCGGACGGATGGCCCACTTGGGGCCCTGGACCAGTGCAGGGGTACTGGGTGCCCCGGTGTGATGTTCCATGAGCCGGGTGGATGGCCCACTTGGGGCCTGGGGGCGGCGAGGGGGTTGCGCGCAGGGCGTGCGAGGGTCGGGGGCGTGCATGAGCCGGATGGATGGCCCACTTGGGGCCTCGGGGGGGGCGGCCTCCAGGAGCCGGGTGGATGGCCCACTTGGGGCCTCGGAGCATCAGCCGGACGGATGGCCCACTTGGGGCCTGCATTCGGCCTCCGCGGAACAGCGTTCGGGAAGGGCTGCGCGCCTTCCCGGAACAGCGTTCGGGAAGGGCTGGCGGCGGAGGGAATGGGGAGGGGTGGGAGCGGGAGAGCACGAGGTTGGAAGAAAGGGGCAAATGGAGGGAGGGAAGGGGAAGGGGACGGGGGAAGGCGAAATAGGACAGGGGAGCTGGGGGAAGGGAGGGGGAGGGGGGGGGGAGGGATGAGGGAGGCAGAGTGCGAGAGAAAATGGGCGCGGTTGGCAGATGTAAGTAGCGGGCTAGCATCAGTGAGGCGCTGAACGACACTGGTGTGGGACGCGGGGCGACGACGACGACGACGACGACGACGACGACGACGCGGGGCGAAAAGGGGAGTGAAGGGAGAAAAGGGGAGGTGGCGGCGGAGGGGGCAAGGGGCTGCGCGGTGGGCGGAGGCAGGGGGAGGGCCAGCACGGGAGCGTGCACGGGGCAGACCAGGCGAAGTGGCCACTTCGGCGCCGCAGAAAGGGCGCGGCGGTCGACGGGCACACCTAGGACGAGAAGGAGAGAGGGTGGCAGAACAGCAATTCCAAGGCTGCCCCTCGCAGACAATTTGGCTTCACTCGTGCGGCCTGATCCCGCTTCGAGGTGTCTCCATGTCGACGCGGTAGCGGGCCGTGGGCCGAGGCGACCGAACTGCTCCGAACGCTGGGCGGAAAGGCGTTCCAGAAATCTTGGAACGCCTCCCCGAAAGCCGTTCCATGCACCCTTTCGACGGCCCACCTTCTGGATGGCCCTGTTCGCCCCGCCTAAGGGAAGCACTGGACAGCCACTGCTGCTGCCTACCCGGCAGCCTTCGCCCGTGCCGCCGCCGCCATCCTCGTTCGCACGTGTGAGAATAAACGCCCCCTGGCTCTCTCTCTCTCTCGCAGAATGGGGGTGTAGCCCTGAATGTTTTTTTCGGCCTTCGGCCAAGTCCGCGTTCGGGTTCGGGATGCGAGGCTCGTCTATATGTCCAGTGTCTCGCCCTGAAGCCGCGAGTTCGCCGCCGTGCACTGCTCCGCGCAAAGAACATCATCTCTCTTGGCGACGTGGGTCGGAAGAGGCCCTGCTGGGTGCATTCAGTACGTGAAGCAGGCACTGAAGGGAGCGTCGCCGCATGGCCACTGCCACTTGTGCTCGAGCTCTCCCTCCCCCCTTTTTCTCCCCCTTCGAGCTTGAGAGTGGCTTTTTCTGGCTGGATGCGAGGCTCGTCTATCTGTCCAGTGTCTCGCCCTGAAGCCGCGAGTTCGCCGCCGTGCACTGCTCCTCGCAAAGAACATCATCTCTCTTGGCGACGTGGGTCGGAAGAGGCCCTGCTGATCATCATCATGATCACCATCATGGTGATGATGCTGTTGATGATGATAAGGATGATGATGATGATGATGATGATGATGATGATGATGATGATGATGATTATGACGTTTATGCTGATGATGATGGGTGTATTCAGTACGCGAAGCAGGCATTGAAGGGGGCGTCGCCGCATGGCCACTGCCACTTGTGCTCGAGCTCTGAGTCAGGGCCCCCCCATTCCTTTCCATGCAAGCCGCCCTCCGCCATATTGCCGGGCGATTCGCTGAGGGGGTCTCGACGGGCCTTGTCGCGTGGGCTGGGCGGCCTACCTGCCCGCACTGCGAGTGCTCGCCAGTGCTGCACTGTCCACCTCTGACCCGCTTGACTGGTGACGTGGCCTACACCTCGCCGCTGACCCCGCTCGCGCTGGTCTTCACGTGTGCCTGTGTGGCGGTCGTGGCCTTCTCGGCTGGTCGCTTGACGGGGGTGAGGGCTAGGACAGAGCTGAACCCCGAGGACCTGGACGCGACGGCCCGAGCTCAGGTGGCGCAGTATCGGTCGAAGGCTTTGGCACAATGATGCCGCCTGCAGCCGCTGGTGGCCACCCGCTCACTGTCTCTCACGACCTGCGGGTGGGCGACTTCTGCGTGGTGAGGTACAATGTCGGGGGCCCCTTTCTGTACCACGAGCGGCTGGTCACCTACCTGCCGCTTGGAGCTGGGTTGACCGTCTCGGTCACCACCCCCGACGGTGACGAATATGAGGAGGTATGGAGTATGCCAGACATCGTCGAGTGGGAGCCACTGCCGAATCGACAGCAAGGAGGCGTCCTACTGGGTTGGCCCGGAGCTCGATACTACCGCTTCCGGGTTGGCGCGATGCCGACCATTGCGAGCCTCACGGCGGCGACCACGGTCGCGGCCGCCCGCCTCGGCCAGCCCGCGCCTGCGGGGCCCGTGGCGCCAGCTCTCGGCGGGCGCATCGCCGAGTTGCCAGCGGGAGGTGCCTTGCCAGGTGCGCCCGCGGCCGGAGGCGCTGCCGCGCCGCCCGGTGCTGCGCCAGGCCCGCCGGCGGCGGGCGCCGCCGCCGCTCTCGGAGGCGTGGCCCCAGCGGCCGGGCTTGGTGGCCTGGTGGCAGCGCTCGGCGGACCAGCAGCAGGAGCGCCCGCAGGAGTTCTTGTCCCCGCTCCTCTTCCGCCGGCTGCCCCTGCCGCAGCCGGCGCCGCGGCCGCCGTGGCCCCAGGGGTCGGCGCGGCGCCTGCCGGTGCTGCCGTCGACGCGCCCTTGCTTGGCGCGGCAGGCGCGGCTGCAGTCGGTGCACCTCCTCCCGTGGCCTTTGGGGGCGTTCCCGCCGCTGCGGCGCCCGCTGGCGGCCGCGTCCAGGATGCACGGGCGCTCCCAGTGGTCTACGACATGGTGGGCAACCGTCGTCGAGAGTTCCGCGACGCGGTGCTGGCCTGCCGGGAGGACCAGTGGGAAGGGTTGCCGGTGCGCGGCCCCCGCACCACCCACTGGGTCCTCCGGTACATCGTCGACCACGGCGGAACTCCGACTGGGATGCACTCTCGGTGGCGGAGCGAGGCTCGTCTCCAGGAGCACGAGCCAGGAGTGCAGGAGCATGAACGGGCCTGCCGGGCGCTGGAGGAGCTGCTCTGTTTCGACCAGTGCAACGGGGCCAACCTGGCGGCCGCTGAGCTGCTAGCGCGCACCATCCAGGTGCAGCAGGAGCGCTACCGGGACAGGAGCGCTGGCGGCACGGCCAGTGGCGGCCACGACGGCGTGGACGCCCACCTCTTCATGGGCAGCGAGCTCACCAGGGGAGGCGTGCGCGCGTGCCCGCTCCTCCAGGAGTGGGCCAGCCTTCAGCTGGCCAAGGAGCAGGCGCTGCTGAAGGAGCGCCGCAAGGCGCCCGAGGAGAGGGAGCTTGCAAAGAAGGGCAACAAGAAGAAGAACAACAGGGAGGAGGAGGGGTGATGTTCCCCTCGGTCGCGCCTGGTTCAGGCGGCCAGCGCGACTCCCTGACTGAGACGCCTGTGGACCGTGGTGCCTCTACCGGTCCGATCAAGAGAGAGGGTTTTGATGCGCTGGGACATAGTGTTCGCCAACGTGATGTTTTTCCGCTGCCCCCTCTGCGCCGGGACCATGCCGGCGCGGCGGGCCGCCAGGACCTGTCGCGGGTCACTCGGCGGCGTGGCGCGGCCACCAAGCACATCCTTGACTGGGGCGACGAGTGCATCGACGCCCTGAATGACTTGCATGGCCACCAGGACCGGCCAGCGGTCCCCGCCAATGCCGCCCAGCGGCATGCAGTGGACCACGTCGAATCTCAAGTACGCGCGCTTGGCAAGCCCCCACCTGAGGCAGGTTTTCGCGAGGGAGCCCTACGTGAGCTCCTCGCAGGGACGGGGATCTACCAGACGGGTGATCTCTCTTCCCGACGGCCGTATGTCAAGGAGTCCATATCCTGGCCCTCGCCCGACCTGCAGCCAGTTCCACTGACCGCCTGCCTTGGTGAGGCCGAATCTGAGTGGCTGGGCCGCTGGCAGAGCACCTTGCTCAGGCCAGATAAACCTACAGCTGCTGAACGTACTGAGTTCTGCCCTCACGGACCTTTTTTCGACCCCAGTCTCTTCAGTAAGCCTCTGCTCTACGCCGATTTTGTCGCCAAGTTGCTGGCTCGCGGCATGGTGGAGCTGAAGAGGGACTGCGACGCAGCCACCGTCGGCTGCTTATTCGTCGCGAAGAAGAACCAGAAGCTGAGGGTGATATTTGACACGAGGTATGCCAACCTATTTTTTCGTCGACCGGCTCGGACTGCGTTGCCGACTGCGACGGCCCTCGCTGCTTTCGAGAACCCTGGGCACGACACCTACCTGGCCTCGGGTGATATCGATAACGCATTCTACAGACTACGATTGCCTGACGGGCTGTCCTCGCACTTCAGACTGCCCGCCCTGGATGCCAGCCTGCTCGGGATCACGCACCTGGACGGGGTCCCGCTCGCGCGAGGGGCGCGAGTGCAGCCCTGCGTGTGCGTCTTGCCGATGGGCTGGAGCCATGCGCTGGCCCTCTGTCAGGGCGTGCTCCGACGCGCCATGGCCACCGCGGGGTTCACCGTGGACCAGTGCGTCGAGGACGGGAAGGCGGGGGTCGTGGTCGACCGGGAGGGCGCCGTGGCGGTTGCCGGCTATGTCGACAACTACGCCGCCCTGGGACGCTCCCCGGCCCTTGTCGACCAGGCCGCCCTTGCCATCGCGCGCGTGCTGACGGAGAAGGGGCTTCTCACTCACGATGAGGAGCCTGCCGCGCGGGACGCCACCTTCGTAGGGCTAGAGCTGAAGAGAGGGCGACATCTTTCGATCAAGGCCAGGAGCATTTGGAGACTTCGCTTCGGGTTGGACGCTTTGCTCAGAAGAGTTTTTTGTTCTGGAGACGCCCTCAGGGTCATCATAGGACATTTCACTTGGGCAGGTTTGATACGACGAGAAGTCCTCTCTTTGCTCAACGCCAGTTACCAGTTTGCCGAGCGGATCGGGTCTCGGCTGGCGCGTCTTTGGAGATCAGTGCGACGCGAGCTCTGGCAAGCACGCTGTATCTTACCGCTGCTCAGCGTTGACGTCAGCGCAGGGTGCCGCCTCTGATGCGTCGCTGTTCGGTCTCGGTGTCACTGTCCGAAAAGCTCCCACTTCACTGGTTTCTTCGATCGGCCGATGCAGCGAGAGGTGGCGCTTCCGGGCTGAGGGGGCCCAGCGGGCTCGCGAGCATGCTCTCCATCAGGCAGCTGACGACTCCACTGGTAGCCCCGACAAGGCCCTCGAGAACCTGCTGGTCGACAACCCCGTGGCTTTCGACGAGGTCCCCTTAGGCTTCTTGAAGTCTGACAATTGGAAGGTTGTTCACGCTTCAAAGGTTGCTGGGTCCACCGACATCCTAGAGCTGGAGGGGGAGGCGCTCCTTATGGCTATTCGACATACGCTCAGGAACACTGGGGCTCTTGGGAAGAAGACCTTGTTTATAGTGGATAACCTACCACTGGCCCTAGCGGCCACCAAGGGGCGGGCGAACTCGCGATATCTCTGGCATGTACTTCAGAAGATGGCTGCTCTATCGTTGACCACAGGATGTAAGATAGTTGTGCGTTGGGTACCATCTGAATTCAATCCTGCCGACCATCCGTCTCGAGGCGACCACGGTTTCTTCACTACTCCATACCACGTACATCTTTCTCAGCCCCATGGGGCCGCGCCGGCGGCCAGCTGCGGCGCAGGCCGCTGTCGAGCGGGCACAGAACGCCCAGCTCGTGGTGGCCTCGACGGTGCAGACCTTCGGCCTCTCGTTCCTCGAGTCCGCGGCGATCCGCCCGAACACGCAGAGGCAGTACCACGACCGCTTGGCGACGCTGGTCCTCTTCTGCCGGATGTACCGCCTGGACTGGGACAGTTGGGAGTCGCTGGACAATGCCGTCACCGCGCTGCTGAATCACCAGTTCCTGGACGGCAAGTGCTCGGACCTGGGGGCGCAGCTGATCGCGGCGCTCTCGCACGTCTTCCCGGGCCTGGCCCGGCGCAGCGGGCTGTACCTGCCGCGCGCGTGCCGAGCGGCCAGTGCCTGGAAGCCACGGGCTCCTGGGCGCTCGATGCTGCCCATGCCCAAGACCGGGGCGGCGGCGATCGCAGGGGTGATGCTGTACCTCGGCCGTCGCCGGATGGCCATCTACACCATGCTGACCTTCATTTGCTATCTCAGGCCGCTGGAAGGGATCGCGCTGCTGGGGAGGCACCTGGTCGCCCCTGTGTCGGCGGCAGGAGCGAGCTACGCGAGTTGGGGGCTGCTATCCACGAGTTCGAGCTCGGCCAGCCCTCCAAGACCAGCACGTCGGACGACGCGGTGCTCATCGACCAGGACAGCTGGATCCTCCCTGTGCTGGCAGGGCTCCAGGCGGCAACGCACGCGGACGCCTCGCTGTGGGACTTCGACGCGACGGAGTTCAGGGTGACCTTCAAGGCCGCTGCGGAGCTGCTGGGGTTGGGGCAGCTCGCTCCACACCCCTACTCGCTTCGCCACGGCGGAGCGTCGGACGACCTCCTGGCCGGACGCCGAAGCCTGGAGCAGGTGCGAGCTCGGGGCCGATGGGTGTCGTCGTCGAGCCTTCGTCGGTACACCAAGGCCACTCGCCTACTTCGCGAGCTGCACGAGGTACACAGCGACGTCTTCAGCTTCGGGAACTTCGTGATGACCCAGTTCACAGCGCTCGTGGAGCTCGGGCTGGCTGGCCCGCTTTTCGACCAGGTCCCGGCGAGTGTGAGGGCCCTCTTGCTCTCGGGCCCGAACGCCGAGGCCGCGTCCGCCGCCGGCCGCGCGCGAAGGCGGCCGGCAACGTGACCCACCTGGTCGACGGCGGGGACGTCGGCGCCTACCTGGGCAAGAGGCTCGTGGCGAGCCTGGGCCGGGCCGTGCGACTCAGGTCGCTGCTGTTCCTGGAGCTCTTCGGGGGCTGTGGCCGCGTCGCGGCCAGCGCGCAAGCCATGGGCTATGCCGCGCTGAGCCTGGACATCAATGCTTCACCTTTGGAGAATCACTTGACGCCAGCCTTCCTCAACAGGATCCTGGGCTGGATCTCCGGCGGGGTCATCGCAGGCGTGTGGCTCGGCACACCGTGCAGTACCTGGGCCCGTGCGCTGCGAGCCCCGTTGCGAACTGAGCAGCACCCTGACGGCCGGCCCGACCTCTCGCCTGAGCAGTGTAGTAAGCTTGACATTGGAAACAGGTCTTCCTTTTTTCCCTTCATGTAATCCGTGCGTGTTTGAGATACGGGATTGGCGTTATGATTGAGAATCCGCAGACCAGCCTCATGTGGTCCTCCCCTCGTTTTCAGAAGCTTCTGAACTTAAGGAGCAGCACTTCTGTCGTGTGTCACATGTGTCAGTTTGGCGCACCCTGGAAAAAAGCAACCAGGGTGCAAGCTTGGGGCATCGGAGAGCTGTGGGAACTTTCTAAAACATGCGGTGGCCCTCGCGGCCTGTGCAGCAGAACCCTCCGACCCCACCTCGAACTCAGCGGGCGTGCGCCGGGCGGGAAGCACTGGACAGCCACTGCTGCTGCCTACCCGGCAGCCTTCGCCCGTGCCGCCGCCGCCATCCTCGTTCGCACGTGTGAGAATAAACGCTCCCTGGCTCTCTCTCTCTCTCTCGCAGAATGGGGGTGTAGCCCTGAATGTTTTTTTTCGGCCTTCGGCCAAGTCCGCGTTCGGGTTCGGGATGCGAGGCTCGTCTATCTGTCCAGTGTCTCGCCCTGAAGCCGCGAGTTCGCCGCCGTGCACTGCTCCTCGCAAAGAACATCATCTCTCTTGGCGACGTGGGTCGGAAGAGGCCCTGCTGGGTGTATTCAGTACGTGAAGCAGGCACTGAAGGGAGCGTCGCCGCATGGCCACTGCCACTTGTGCTCAAGCTCTCCCTCCCCCCCTTTTTCTTCCCCTTCGAGCTTGAGAGTGGCTTTTTCTGGCTGGATGCGAGGCTCGTCTATCTGTCCAGTGTCTCGCCCTGAAGCCGCGAGTTCGCCGCCGTGCACTGCTCCTCGCAAAGAACATCATCTCTCTTGGCGACGTGGGTCGGAAGAGGCCCTGCTGATGATGACGATGATGACGTTGATGCTGATGGTGGTGGTGATGATGACAATGGTGATGGTGATGGTGATGGTGTTGATGATGGTGATGCTGGTGCTGATGATGATGATGATGACGATGCTGGTGCTGATGATGATGATGCTGCTGCTGATGATGATGATCGTGATGCTGCTGCTGCTGCTGATGATGATGATGATGATGCTGATGATGCTGCTGCTGCTGGTGATGATGATGATGATGATGATGGCGGTGGGTAATTATTACATAAGGGAAAAAGTCCCGAGCAGAACAACACGCACCACGACGACGCCGACGACGACGACGACGACGACGACGACGACGGAGACGCGGCGCGCAGACGATCCGCAGCGAAGCACGGATTGGAGAGGCCTGACGGCCAGTGCCGCCGACCCTGATCGAAAGGGCTAGGAGTGGGGTATTTTGACTCGGGGCCCGCTCCCGGGACGCCTCTGCGGGAGGAGGAGGAGGAGGAGGAGGAGGAGGAGGAGGAGGAGGAGGAGGAGGAGGAGAAGGAGGAGAGGAGCAGGAGGAGGAGGAGGAGGAGGAGGAAAAGGAGGAGGAGGAGGACCAGGAGGAGGAGGAAGTGCATCCCGTGCGTGCCCGCTCGAGGAAAGTGCGCCCCGGCGGGCGTCGTATCTGCCCCGCCCCCCCCCCCCTGCGGGGAAGGGATCAAAGGGAAGGGGCTTCCCTTCGACTCCACTACGACGTCGTTTAATTTCGCTTTGGATAGCGCGCTTGAGGAGGAGAGCCCTGGGAGGGGGAGAGCGGAGACGACGGAGACGACGAGTCGAACGGAGAAGCCCCTCACACACGCCGACAGGGTCGGCGGATTGGGGAAAGGGCCCATCCTTCAGGTTCGGTTGAAGAGCACATCGTTGAGCGGTGTTGCAGCCCCTCCTGAGCACAGGCCCCCCCCCGAGCATCAGCCAGACAAGTCGGGTGTGCACCCTCATGCCTTGCTGAACTTTAGGCGCGTTTCGGCACCCTCTACCCCATCCTCGTCAGGGCCACCAGCAATGGAGAAGGCGGAGGTGGCCGAGGCGTCCCCGAGCTAAGGGGTCGTGGTGGTGATGATGATGGTGATGACGATGATGATGATGATGATGATGATGATGATGATGATGATGATGATGATGATGATGATGACGATGGTTACGATGATGGTGACGATGATGATGATGATGATGATGATGATGATGATGATGATGATGATGATGATGATGATGATGATGATGATGATGATGATGATGATGGTGATGATGACAATGACGACGATGGTAAGGATGATGATGATAATGATGATGATGATGATGATGATGATGATGATGATGATGATGATGATGATGATGATGATGATGATGATGATGATGATGGCGAGGGGGAGGAGGAGGAGGAGGAGGAGGAGGAGGAGGAGGAGGAGGAGGAGGAGGAGGAGTTGGAGGAGGAGGTGGAGGAGGACGTCAGATCGCGCGAACGCCGACCTCCACCGCACTGGACGCTGGCCCCGTGAGGAGCCGACCGATGTTCGGTGGGCTCAGCCCATGCCACGTGGCCGACCCAATGGGATCGGTGTGCGGGTGCGCCAGTCGCTCGGAAGTCTCCCCGCCCCGTCTCTGCGGCCCAGCGCTCCGCCGCTTGACCGCCGACCGATGGGCTCGGCCCGGTCACGCGGCCAGCTCGGATCGATGCCGTTTCACGAGGTGTGCAGGTCGTTGGGAGGCTTTTCAACCCTCTGTGGCCCGCGAGCTCTTCTCCAGGAGATTCTACGAAGCCTGTCCCAGGGCCTGCATCTCTAGCCCGCATGTCCACGGGAGTGAAGCACGCCCAGCTCCAGCGTTTGCGCAGGAGTTATGCCAGAGTGCTGGCCTGGGACTCGGAGGCGCCGTTCTCTTGGCCGTTGGCTCCGCAGTGTGGTGAGCGCTGCGACGGGGCTCGCGATCAGATCGCGCGACTGGGGCGTGCCATCGGCGATCGGCCCGTTGCTGAGGCCAGCGCCCCCAGCGCACGAGTGCCTCCGCCGCATCGAGCCGGACTCAGACGAGGACAGCGACGAGGCCGGGGCGAAAAGAGGTCCAGGGCTGGGCTGCCTGGGGTCCAGGTTTGGGCAAGGGCCCGGGGCCCTCTGTCGGCGGTCACTCCGCCCAGTGCCAGAGAGACAGCATGCTGTCGGGACCTTTGGGGCGAAAACAACGCCTCGCAAGGGTTTTCTTTGAGACGAGGGCACCCCAGTTTGGCGGGGGGGGCGGCTGACTGGACGGCTCTGTGTGATGACCCCATCTCGCTCCCGATAACCCTCGTGGTTGCTTCCTCACCCGCCTCCCCTCGCCCTCCTCCCCCGCTTCCCTACCTCGTTCTGTCCCAATGTTCCTTGTCCTTCTCGCCCTCTTCTCCCTCGCCCTCGTCGTCGTCCTCCTGCTCCCCCTCTTTTCCTCCCTCGTCTCGTCCTCCTCCACCTCCTCCCTATCCTCGCACGTCTTCGTAGTCGTTGCCCTCCTCATCCGCCTTCTCCTCCTCCTCCTCCTCCTCCTCCTCCTCATCCGCCTCCTCCTCCTCCTCATCCTCCTTATTCCTCCTCTTGCCACTCGTACCCAGCAACACACACACACAGGAGCATCCCGCAGCACAAACGCGCCAATCGAAGACGGCATATGCGCATTAGTTAGGAGCAGCACTGAGACCTCAAATGCAACAGCCCTGGCAGAACGGTAAGAAGCATGACGCTGGACACACATATGATTAGAATCGACGGTGCAAAGCACACCACTCGCTCAACACCCACGCCCACGGCGCACCACCAACCGCCAGAGGCGCCGTGAGCCGCATCCTACCTTTCACGTTGCACAAGGGCTCCAAACAGCAGTGCCGCAAGGCAAGCTGGGACAATGGCCACAATATGCAGGAATTGAAGCCGGTACTGTTCAACGGCAATTGCAAAAAGTGCCCAGATTTTGAAGGTGCGAATGTGTTGCTACGTAGTGCGGTCATAAGCGAAACGCTCCGACGCCGTCGGGCTCGCGGAGAACAGTGGTCGCAGACATACCGTATACCCAGTCAGGGCAATTCAGCGCTTCCACAAAACTATCGTCGGACATGTAGCTACGGGTACGACATCCACGCTACACAAGATGCCTAGCCGTCTGCCGTATAACCAGATATCGCCACACATCGAGCCACACAAGCCAGACGACAGAGCGGGGGGATCCGACTTGGCCGCGGGCGGCACGCGCAAAACCACAGGTTCACGCTTGGCATAATACGCGAACACGCATCTCAATGGAATCAGACTTTGTGGATCGCCGCCGTGTTTCTAATCACGGATCCACGAAGGTGAAGCAAATTTCGACTCCCCGCTTGCCCTCCTCGTGTCTCTGCCGCGCGCGAATGCCGCCTGCCTGCTTCCGTTCTTGGGTCAATGGTGCTTGGCCCATGAAGAAGAAGAGGGAAGGGGGCGGAGCTAACACCGTTCGGCGTGATGGAACTTGTTTGGTCGCGGCGCCGGCGAGCGCACGACGCGTGCGGAGCTTGCGGGGGGCGTCGCGCTTGAGAAGCCTTCCCCGAAGACGCAGAAAAATTGTCAGAATACGCGAGGGTTCATGAGAAGCCCCGCCGCCTTTGAGAGGGCCTTCTCCTTCTCACTTTGCCCTCTCGCTCGCCGCTGAAGCAAATTCCTCAAGCTGCGACGCGGCAGGAAACGCGGAGACCCTTTGAGCTCGTTGCTCTTCAGCGCTCTGCTGCAACATCTTCTGGCACATTTCATCCTGGAATAGCATCGACGACTCGACGATGGCGAGGAGTCCAGTTGGCGCAGACCGTCGGATCAGTTCTCACCAACCTCCGCCTCGCGGGTGACATCGCTGGTCTTGAACAGTTTACTGGCAGCCCTGATCACAGTTGAGCCCCGCAGTCTCAAATTTCACGGGGCCCAGAATTCGAGCGCGCGCGGCCATGTTTGCAACCGTGGGCATCCAAGTGTTACCACACGCACACACACACACACACACACGCCGGCAGGCTGACATATCTCGACCAGGCGATTACGTTCCAAGAATCTCTGGCGGCCAAGATTAAGCATCGCATACAGGTTACATGGGCATGGCTCGCAGGACGTAGACAGGAGCTAACGAACAAGCACCATTCATGGAAGCACATACTCTGGCCCACTATGGCTACACCGTGCAACATCAACGTAGCCATGCATCCAATGTGATACTTCCGCTGCGATAGCAACTATGTGAGATGGCTTACGGCCGCGACGGACACGACGTGTTGGGACTCGCGTGAGAGCAAGTGCGTCGTGCAGACTGGCTGATTGGACAATCTCTCCAACATCAGCAGCACCAGCATCGACAAGTACCACCCTATGTCGCTGAACATTACAGACCACTAACACGGACAACGACCGAATAGCACCACCTTGAGCACAAGGCACCGACCACCATCAACCAGCACCAGCAACAGCAACCAGAACACCGACCTCGCCGAACCGGTCTTGATACGCATGGATGATGCATTGTTGTTTTGTTTGTTGCATGCAATGGTTCGTGCATCTCTTCATCGTTACCTTCTATCTGTATTGTTACGCGCACCGATCCTCCACGACCTCTGCCAGCGCGCGATGCGAGGCTACGGCCCCACTCGCCCTGCCCGAAAGGGTTTGGGTACATCCTTGCCCCAAGGCCTGTGCCTGGCAGTGGCGCCGCTTCGCTTCGCGTCGCTTCGCTTCTGTCCTCGGGGTGCTGGCATCTCAGAGATCGCCCCGCGCGGTCCCTGGCCGGCCCTGCCTTGCCGCGCCAGCCCCGACCTTAGGCTTCCCAGATAGGGTCAGGGCAGATGGGGTCGGAGGATCGCGCCGCATCGCCAATGCACGAGGAGGGCGGGGGGGGGGGGAGTAGGGAGGAGGCAGGAGGGAGGAGGGCGGATGGAGCTGGAGGAGGAGGAGGAGGAGAGAGGAGGGAGTTCTGTGCTGGCGTGGCCAAGGGGCGCAGCAGAGCAACAGCAAATGACTTTCGAGCAGGCTCGAAAAGAGACGGGAACCTCCAAGGAGGGGGAGGAAAGGAGAGAAGGTGGGCCGAGTGCCTCCGTCGAACAAAAACACAAAAACACAGAAATGAACGGGAGCGGCCCCAGGACCATCCACCTCAGGCAACATCCTCCTCGGAAACAGGCAGGACCTCGAGGTCCGTAAACTTGTGGTCGAGGGCGAACGAGCCGCAAGGGGTGGGTCTCTGGCCGCTTCCCGCACCCAGAAGCTCAGTCCCGCTACGCGGGTGACGACCGCACCACAGCTTACGCAGGCGATCCCAGGACGCGGAACCACGCGGGCAGCTTCCGCGGCAGTCTTGGCTGAGTTTCTGAGCGGTGTGTTCTGAATAGGCACCGCGCGCGCTGCAGAATACAAAAGGGCCGACCGCCCATGCGCGGTGGCCCGCACCTGGCTTACACGGAGCTGCCTTCAGGACCTGGAGGGTGCCGCCCGATCTCAGGCATCTGATGCATCTGTAGCGCAGCATCGTCGGAAAGCCGAGGGGCGATTCGCCGCCCCCTCCTAGTGCCCACTTCGAGCTTGGCCAGCGAATTAAGCTTGGGCCCTGCGGCTCTCATGGTCCCGGCCAGGAACTTTCCTACATGCTGGACCATCTTGTGAGACCTCTCGGCTCGAGCGCTGGCCTCGCTACATTCGGGATGCACGTGGGCCCCCGCTCGCGCCGCTGCGTCGGCAGCGCGGTTGCCCAGGCGCCTCCACCTAGCTTCATCGTCGCGGTCATCGTCGCGCACGAGCGAATGACCTTTCACCTTGATCACCCGCACTTCGCCCCCCAAGTCCGCCACGCGGTCCCACGCCCGCTCCCAAAGATCAGCGCATGTATGCATGCAGCCTGTGGTATCCGTGCGACCTTTGCGGAAACTGCCCACCACACAGCCACAGTCTGAGTGGAATCCAAAGGGTCCGAGGCCTACATTGTCAAGGTACATCTTTAGGGCGAAAAGTTCCCCTTATCTCGGAACTCTGAATCAAGCTTGGGAGGGGGCCGCAAAGACTGGCCAGGATGTCGAGCCCACTCGAATTCACCTGAATAACTCCCCAACCAGCCCTCCTAAGCCTGGGGCCGCTCTGAATTATCGAATGACACGAGCCACCCCCGAAGCAAGGGCCTTCAAACATCCCCGACTCGGGGGCCGCCCGCCAGTGCGCGAGCAGATCCGACGTGGGGCGAGGAAGCCACGGCCGCGGGTCGCCCACCAGGGCGCGGCACCACAGGGGCCAATCGGGATGGTTCTTCGTTCCCTCCAAGAGCGAGCTGGGCACGAGATAATCGCGGCGGCAAGCCCATGTGCAAGCACAATCCCCCCAGCACCAGTGCACCTCGGTCCCAGGGCCGCTCCCGCAAAGCGAGCACATTGGGCTTTCCGCTATCCTACACTGTGCGGCCGTTCGTCGCCCCAAAAGCCATTGGCGGCCAAACATCTCAACGTGGCTTTGTGAATGCCTGTCCAGTCCTGGCTGGACTTCTGTGAGATTAAGGCCTTCAGGGGGGCGAGGTAGGGAGGGTGGGGGAGGGAGCTCAAAAAAAACTTCACACCTAGCCTTGTCCAGGAGCCAGACTTCGACTCCCCGCTGCGCGATCTGCCTCACTGCGCGGGGGCAGCCGCGGCACAAATCGATTATCTCGCCTTCCGTGGTGCACAGCTTGCCTACGCCAGGACCCAGCGTCCAGCCAATTCTGAAGCACGACGCGAGGGCAGCTGATGCGGGGCCCGTGACTTTGCTCCACGTGTTGTTGGTTTCCCTTCAGGCTCTATCGGTGGCGAACAACATACGACTCAGGACCTCTCTCGCTTCCCAGGAGTCCCAGAAGGCCTGCGCGAGCATCGCGATGGGGTTCACGGTGCACGGGCCGGCTATAGCATGGGTGTTCTTTGGGACCAGGGCCAGGTCGATAGTCAAGGACTTCCTGGACGAATGAGTGGAAAGGGCCGCGCGAGCAGCCCGTCGTAGGGCCACCACCCCGCTCCAAGACCGCCCAGTGACCCCGTCGCCCCAGGTGTCAGCGGG